CGGAACAGATCGCCAAGGCCTTCGCCGAGCTCTTCACGGACAAGATTGCCGCGACGAAGATCGCTTGCGCGAAGGCCCGACAGCAACTGGGATGGCCTGCGCGAGCTTGAGGAGCCATGAGATGCAGGTTGCGTTGTGGCGGTGCTGTTCAGTCTGTCCGTCTGCATTCGCGTGGTGCTTCTCAGCCTGCATGCGCGTGGTGCTTCTCAGCCTGCGCTCGTGTGCAGCTGTGCGCGGTGAGCCTGCACGTGTCGCGGAATGCTTTTCAGCCTGCGCGTGTCTGCAATGCTTTTCAGCCTGCACGCTTTGCAGCTTCTCCGCTTCGCACGCCGCTCCTCAGCGCGGTCCTCTGAAAAAAGGACAGTCATCATCTCATCGTCGCACTCATCATCGCACTCATCATCATCATTCATTGCCAGCGTTGATAGCAGTGTCTCCTTTTTACACGACTGCCACCATTCATAGCAGTGTCTCGTTTTGACACATTTCCAGCGTTGATAGCAGTGTCTCCTTTTTACAGGACTCCGAACTACAACTACTACTTCACTGTTACCACTGTTTCATATTTCCTGCTCTTATTGCTAATACTACTGCGAGTGTTACTGCTGCTGCATGCCTCCATCTATGCTACTACATATCGATGTTAGGTTGCTTTGCCGGGATAATATCACGTAGACAAGTATCGACTGCCTGCTTGCGCGCCGCCGAATGGGCCAGCCGCGAGGCAGTCGCCCAAGCCGCACGCGACGCCCTAGGCCTCAACGGGCTGTCGCTCGCTCGCTGTCTACGTCCATGTTCCCCGGCATTGTCGTTTCCACCACCGCCGAGCGTTCAAAAGTGTTGGGTCCATAATCCGAGGTGCATGCCAACTAGAGCTCCGCTGGCAAGCACTGCGGCACGATGGTCTGATCACATCCCATAGGGTGCACGTTCTGAAGCCTCGTCCTTGCCACTTCGGTTGCTTGGCACGGGATTCGTGTGCCATTATTTAATCGCTTCGCTCATTCCGCCGGCCCATACAGTCTCATGTCTGCCGTTTGCCCGAGGGCCTGGTGTCAATGCGGCGCTTTGGGGGTTCCTGGGGCCGCTTGGGGGACTCCTGGGGCGCTCGGGGGGGCATTTGGGGGGCCTCCTGGGGCCGCTTGGGGGACTCTTGGGGGCCTCCTGAGGGCCTCGTGGGGGCCTCTTGGGGCCTCTTAGGGGCCTCTAGGGGCTTCTTAGGGCCGAGGGCTCGAAATGTTGTTTCGTGTTCCCTCTCTGGGGCCCCTTTGGGGGCGTTCTTGGGGCCCTCTTGGACCGTCTTGGAGGCTTCTTGGGCCGTCTTCGAGCCCTCTTGGGCCATCTTGGGGCCCTCTTGGGGGCCTCTTGGGCCCTCTTGGGGCGATCTTGGGGGCCTCTTGGGCCGTCTTGGGGCGTCGGGAAGCCGAAAAGGTGGAAGCTCCAAATCTCTCAAAAACCTAAGGAAAAACAATGAATTTTGCCTCCGGGGGCCCTCTTGGGAGTGCTCTTGGAGGCCTCTTGGGGCGTCTGGGGGCTATCTTGGGCGTCTTGGAGCGATCTTGTGGCATGTCGGACCCCTCGTGTACCATCTTGGGGGCCTCTTGGGGGCCTCTTGGCCTTTCTTGGGGCTCTCGGGGACGTCTCGGAACCCTGTTGGTGCGCTCATGGAGCGCTCCTGGAGCGCTCTGGGGGACTCCTCCCGGGACTCTCTCAGGACCTTGCCGGGGTACTTTCCGCCCGGGGACCCCCCGGGGCCGCCCCGCGCGCGCGAACTAGAGAATTGTTAACCAGTTACCGGAGATCTTAGCACGCCTCTGGCCCGTTGGGCCGGCGAATTGGCAATGCCCCCGTCTCACGCGCTTCACCGCCCTCCCCCACGCTTTCCCGAATCCTCGCTTACTCGTCGCGTGGGGATTCGGCACCCAGCAGGGCCATGCCTCCCCAGACGATGCTCGGCCAGCAGTCAATCGCAGGATGGTCATCACATTTCATTGTTTCCACTGTGAAGTTCGAGCTGGACTCGTCGCCAGAGCGTCAAAGAGAACGCTCATGGTGCTCTTCCGTCTTTGCTCGCAGATGTCTGCTGGCCGCACGCCCCGGCGCCGCTTTATCAATTGAGGGTGGGCTGATGCGGGGCGGATGGTGGTTTTTGTTGAGGACCGTGATTCATAAAACGTCCCCCCCTCGGTTTGAGCCAGGCCGATCCGCAATCGCACGCTGCCGCGCGCTCCGCCAGCGAGCTACGATATCAGCTCGACGATTTGGCTTTGTGGATGGAGTGCGTTGCGTTGGGATCGTGATTGGGCGGGGCGCTCATGTCAGCAATTGTCGTGGTAAGTCCGTGCTCCCGCCTCTGACAGTTGAGCACCGGCACGCCACTGCTTCATATTCGGTCGGGCCTTTTTCCCGGCGGTCCACTGCTCGATCGTGGCGGGGCCCCGCCTCTTATAAAGATCGTTCGCCGGCCTCTCTTCGGATAGATCGACGCGGTTCTGTCTTCTTCTTCTCCTCCTCCTCCTCCTCCTCTTCCTCCTCCTCCTCTCGAGTCGTCCTCCTGCTCCTCCTTCTATTGCTCCTCCTCCTCCTCCTCCTGCTCGTCCTTCTCCTCCTCCTCCTTCTCCTCCTCTTCCTGCCACGTCCCACCTCCCACTTCCTACCTCCTCCTCCCCCTCCTTTTCTCCTCCTCCTCCTCCTCCTTCCCCTCTCCTCCCCTTCTTCCTCCTCCTCCTCCTCCTCCTTCTCCTCCTCCTTTGCCTCCTTCTCCTCCTCCTTCTCCGCACTCTCCTATTCATGATTTTCCTCCTCCTCCTCCTATTCCCTCTCCTCCTCCTCCTCCTCCTTCTTCTCCTCCTCCATTCCCTTTTCTTATGAACAACCCATTTCTGTCGTGCCCCGAGGCCAGTGGAAAGGGTGGGCCGGGTGTTCCGCCTTAGATTTCCGTGCCGCTCACGGCCCTGAGGCTTCGAATCTCCACAAGCTTCACGGGTGGAAGAAGTGTGATTTCAACATGTGGCTCCCGCTTTAGCGCCGTGCATGTTCGTTTTCAAAATGTGCAAGAGCTTCACGGATGGAAGGCGGGTCGTTTTCAAATTGCGGTAATCGCCTTAGCGCCGTGCGCATGTTTGTAAAAGTTGCAAGAGATTCACGGATGGAGGGCGGGCCGTTTTCAAAATGTCGTTCTCGCTTCAGCGCCTCACAAATGTGTTTTAAATGCTGTAAGAGTTTCGAGGATGGAAGGCGGGTGGCTTTCAAATTGTGGTTATCTCGATCGTGCCGCGCAGATTCGTCTTAAGAATTCGCAGCAGGTCCAAGGGCTTTCAGGGATGTTAATTTGGCACAGTTCAGGATTTTAGGACGGCTGTTTTCCAAGGCGGTACGTCCCTCAATGAAAATGAACCCTTGCAGACGCCTGTGGTGAGGGAGTTCGGAGGGAGGGCTTATTGCAATATCGTTGATGAGTCTGGGTGTTGCACTGGCCATTCTCCTCCTTCTCCTCCTCCTCTCGCTCCTCTTTCTCCTCCCTGGTCCTCCTCCTGCTCCTCCTCCTTCTCCCTCTTCCTTTTCCTCCTCCTCCTCCTCATCCTTGTGCTCCTCCTCCGCCTCCTCCTCCCCTCCTCTTTCTCCTCCTGATCCTCCTCCTCCTCCTCCTCCTCCACCTCCTCCTCCGCCTCCTCCTCCTCTTCCTTCTCATCCCTCCTCCTGCTCCGTCTTCTTCTGCTGCTCCTCCTCCTCCCTCCTTTTCTCCTCCTCCTCCGCCTGCTTCTGCTGTTCCTCCTCCTCCTCCTTCATTCCTGTTCGGTATGAGCAGCTCCTCCCTGTCGCACCCCGAGGCCGGTCGGAAGGGCGGGCCGGGCTTTTCGCTTAAGACGACCTTACCATCCACGAGGCTGGCGCTTCAAAAGCTGGCAGTAGCTTCACATTTGGAGGACGGGCCGCTTCCCAAGTGTGGCTCCCACCTAAGCGCCGCGCACATTCGTTTCAAACAAGTGCAAAAGCATCATGCGTTGAGGACGGGTGGTTTTCAAAATGTGGCTCTTGCCTTTGCGCCGCGCGCATTCGTTTCCAACGCTTGCAAGAGCGTCACGGATTGACAGTGGGTCCTTGTTCAAGTGTGATTATTGTTTTTGCGCCGTGCGCATTCGTTTTGAAAGCTTAGAAGAGCTTCACGGATTGAGGGCGGCTCCTGTTCAAAATGTGGTTCTCGCTTGTGCACCGCGCACGCTCAGTATGAAAGTTCGCAAGGGCTTCACATATTGAGGACGGCTCCTTGTCAAAATGTGGCTGCCGCTGTTGCGCCGCATACATTCGTATTAGATTTACAAGGGTTTCATCGATACTCATGGTTAACGTGCCAGAAACGGTGTCTTGGAATCGTTCTGGATTGTCAGGGCGCAACAGTTGCGTTGATTCGCGGCGTTGACGTCCCAGGCATGGTGTTCTGGCACGGTTCAGTATCGTCAAGACGCAGCAGTCAGGTTGGCTCGCGGCGTAGAAATCTTGAGAATGATGTGTTGGCGCGCGTCATTTGTTTCACACGGTTTTCCCCCAACGGGGCAATTCCGTCAGTGGAAATGAACCCTTGCAGGGCCCCATGAGGAGGGAGCTTGGAGGGAGGGTGTATCCCAATACCAACATCTTTTATAAATTTTGGGTTTTCACTCCTTCTCCTCCTCCTCCTCCTCCTCATCCTCCTCCTCCTACTGCTCCTCCTCCTGCTCCTCCTCCTCCTGCTCCTCGTCCTCTTCCTCCTGTTCCTGTTTATCCTCCTTCTCTTCCTCCTCCTCCTCCTCCTTCTCCTCCCCCTCCTCCTCCTCCTCCTCCTCCTCCTCCTCCTCCTCCTCCTCCTCCTCCTCCTCCTCCTCCCCTTCCTTCTCCTCCCCCTCCCCCTGCCCTGGATACCACGCCACCTCCAGCGCAATCCGCTCCCCCACCCTTCCGCCCTCCTCCTGCTCCCAGTGTTCCTTCCTGGGCCCCTCCGCCCCCCGCTGCCGTTCACTCCCAGTTTGACGCGCGGAGCGCCCCGCATGCCGCGCCCGAGCCTGCGGCGGCGGCGGCCCCTGCTGGGGGGGCGGCCGCGGCCCGCCTCGCTCCGCGATGCACATCGCCGAGAAGGCGGCTCCCTCCGCCTGCTCCTGCATTCCTCCCTTTCATAGGGGAACGAACACTGACATAAACATAAAAAGTCGGAGGTCCGCGCGGATTTCTCGGATTGGCGTTGGACCCCCTTGGCGGCGCTTCCGGCGCCGCCCCTGGCGCGCTCCGCGCGCCAGAGAGGGGGGTCCAGCGCCGATCCGAGAAACCCGCGCGGACCTCCGAGTTTTTCTGTGCATGTTTTTGTTCGTTCCCCTACCTCAGTCCTCCCCTCGGGCTCGGGCTAGCGGCATGAAGGTCGCGAGTCGACGTTGCCATCCCCCCCCGTGGGCGGTCGCCCACGGGCACGACGGGCGGAGGAGCCTCCCGGGTGGCGAGGTGTCTATGTCCCTCAGCGCTCCTGGGGTGAGGAGGATGGAGGAGGGGGGAGGAACATGACAACCTCCGTCCTCCCTCCTACGTCTCCTCCCGCCGCCTCCTTCGCCAGCCCTCACCCCTCTTTCGCCCTTCCTGATCCTGGGGGCCACCCTTCACCCTTCTCAGCCCCCTGTTCCCTCTCCCTTGCGCCTCCTCATCCCGTTCGTTCCTCCTCCTCCTCCTCCTCCTCCTCCTCCTTTTCTTTCCTCCTTGTGACAAGAAGGAATGCGAAGCGGAGCACGAACAACGACCTTGTGCCTGCTCCACGTCGCGCTCCTCCCCCTTGCCAGAGAAGGCGGCGGTGTTCACCAAGGAAGTGGCGGCTTCGGTCCTCTCGGGCAGCCAGCAGGACCTCGTGGTGTACATATCCAACGGCACCGACCAGGCGGGGGGTTCGCCGCCTGCAGTCTCCCCCCGTGCTTGTGTTCCGTCGCCTTGCCTCGCAGGGAGAGGGGGGATTAGGAGGACATGAGGAAGAAGAGAAAGAGGGAGGATGGGAGGAGAACGCGGGAGGGGTGGTCATAGGGGGTGGGAGGGGAAGGGTGGAGACTGAGGAGTAAGAGGAGGAAGAGGAGGAGGAGGATTGGGAGGGGGGGAGGGGGAGGAAGGAGAGGTAGTGAACGGGGGCCGGAGGAGGAGGAGAAGGAGGAGGAGGAGGATGAGGTAGAGGAGGAGGAGGAGGAGGAGGAGGAGGAGCAGGAACCAGAGCAGGAGGAGGAGGGGGAGGAGGTAGCAAACATAATGGCCGTGACTGGTGTAGAACGGTTAGTGTCAGATGGCAGTGTTACAGTTGCCCCTTGGTTCGAGAACTTATAGCACCTGTGGAAGACAAGTTCGATGCCGGCCTGTCTATCACATCGTTTCCATCTGCATCCTCTTGTACGATTAGCATGGTAGCGGAACAGGGCCAATGGCGGTGACAGCAACAATGGCAGGAGGCGTCCGACCGACCTGGTTAGTAGTGAGTGGAGTTCAGTACAATTCGGGAACGCGGGTCGTGGTTGAGTCTCCGCCCGACCAGTTTACCGAGATCTGCGAGGCCGCCTACTACAGTGGTTACTTTAGCTATGCGAAGGTCGCGTTACGGTCGGACCGAAGTATCATATCGAGGTCGGCTCGGGGAGGTACCCTAATGTTCGTCATGCTTGTTGGATGCGTTTGTGCATCCTGGGGGATGGCACCCTCGGGTGATCTTATGGCTCGGGGTGTTTTGGGGTGGCCAGGCTGCCAGAGGGTCTCCTGTTCTTGAAGCATGTTATGTTGTTTTAGGTCCGGCCGTACACTCAAATCACAGGGGCATGACATATTCCATCGGCCGGCTGATGGCGGTATGAGCTAAATCGATCACAGCAGAGGTGACCCACTCTTTGCTGCACAAGACCCAGCATATGACGCCCTACGGCTGAGGCTCGTCAGCCTTTACATGCGTAGGGAAACTCAGACGAAACAGCTACTCGATTGCACCGCGATCCTCGAGAACCAGATCGGCGCCGACGCCAACACCATGGAGCAGGTCACCAAGTTTGTCGAAACCATTGTTGAAGGTAAAAAAAGGCAAGACAGGTGGGACCGCATCGCGGACCCAAGCCTGTTAGCGAATACGCTACAATTCGCGAGTCATATATCTCTTGCAGGCGACAGGGCCAAGTTCGGATAATGGATATGATACGTTGTTAAAAGTAGTTGCCCAGGTAAACAATGGGTATAGCATGCCCGAATAACATAAGTAACTATTTAGAAACCATGGACGGTGCGTTGCAAGACGCGGATGAGGACGACCTCGAGCGGTTCCTCAATCGTTCCCTTCCTTCCGGCCAACTACAACACAGCGTCACCTGTTAAACATGCGGAAAAGATAAGACATGTATCCACGAGCTCACCAGCGACACCGCAAAGAAATGGAGTTAAATAGCGGGGCGAACTGAGGGGTTTCGCCAGCAATGTTTAAAGGCGTGCCATTAAATACACTAGTGGCACTCAATGGTCACAGGTTTTTCCTGTGCTACGAGCCCCGCCACGGGCCCCGACAAGCTTAGACAGGCTAGCGAGGTATCACCCCAGTGAAAAATACTGGAGCCACTTAGTCGCACGTTGGAATAGCAAGGACTGTCATACTCCTTCGGTTCCCCATTCAGACTTGCAGCCCCGTTGGTCATTACGACCCATGCAGGTGTTTGGTTCGAGGATTGGCAGCTGGCCTGTGTAAGAATTCCAGAGTCGCCTAACAACAGAAGCTCGGCGTCAAAGTCGAAGTCTGGTTGAGAAAGAAGAGTTTAGACGCTGACGGCAAGAACGCCGACGCCGCGGACATCGGGAACGCTGGCAGCGCCAACGAGGGAAACGACACCCACAGCTGGAATGGCGGTTTAGGCTGGGGCACCGAAGGTCGTGCTGTCGAAGAGATCGATTGGCGGCCAGCTGATGGGCGCTCGGAAATAGGCGGGGAGACAGAAGACGAGACAGGCGTTGACTACAGGGAAAGGAGGAACATGGCCAGGGTGTTCCAAGCTTCCAAGCGCGGTGGGATTGGCCGCGCGGCCAGGAACTGCGAGAATGGACGCGGAGAGGGCAACGGAGGAAAAGGATGGCACGCAGAAGGATACCGAGTTACCTGCGGCAGGGACACGGGAAACCAGGGCCACGGCGAACACGGCCGCGCCAGTGGCAAGGGGCAGGGCAGTTGGAACAAAGAAGGCTTCGTCCCGATGTTTGAGCGAGATTGCGATGAGCGCGGCAGAAAGAAGCGAGTTACCATCGATTGCCTTGAGGACAAGAACGCTCGCGAGGCGAGCATCGAGGAGAGTGGCGCGGCGCCCGCCATCTCGTTTGGCCTTCCGTTGGTCGGGGCCCACTTTGTGGCGGCGCCGAGTGGACACCTGGGCTTGCATGCCAAGCAGCTTTCGGATCGGGGGAATGAGTAAAGAAGCGTCGAAGTTTAACTTCGTCAGGAGCGGCGAGGCGAGCGGGCGTTCGACCCAGCGTTCGCGCCCGAACTCTCAGGACGCCAGACTTGTGACAGGGCCGTTGAGGGAGAAGCAGGACGGTTCGAAAAGTGCGCCGCCGCGGGCTTGGTCGAAACCATAAACAGACAGACATCGTGAGTTCACCGAAGTACAGCAAGGTAGCGCTGAAAGAGGACGTCGAGAAAGTCGCGGCCACAGTGGGCTCGGGGGCCTGCGACGTTGCGGAGCCGCCGGTCGCGCGGAGATAGGATCGCGTTGAAACCGCCGGAGTTCCAATGGCGGGCGCGCGCTATAGCGCAGCCAACGGGTTAGCCATCAATAATTTCGGCTAGAGGGGCATCGCGGGCAAGAGCGGGCAAGGGGCGAAATCTAGCGTGCCCGCGTAGGTCGACGGCGCAACAATGGCGACGGGGTCGGCGAGAGACACGACGGGGCCCAGCATCCGATTGATCGTTGCAGGTCGCGCAGTTACGTCGGGCACACGGTCGCGGGCCATGGGGCTGTCATCCGCGAGAGAAACGAAATTTGCCAGGTTGAGCCGCGAGTCCCGGGTCGCGCGGCCTCGCTGCCGGTCAGCGACGTGGCCCAGAAGGTCAGTGGCGACGAGTTTTCCGAGGCGGGGCCCCCGGCGGAGGCCGCGCCCTACTGGGCCCGAATCACCGCGTAAGTCCCAGCCACAGATTTGTCATCCTACGTATTGATGGCGCTGACGGACGCGAAATTGAGGGCAGCGCGTTGAGCGGTGTCGAGAACATTTTTGGAGAAGAAATTGCGCTGCCAAAACTGATCACGCGTGATTTACGCCATAGGAAATGTGCGCGGGCCCCGAGCACGTCGTCCGCGTCGCGCCTGGCTGCGAAATTGGCAGCCTGGGGAATGCGGGGCTGCCCGGGGCCCCTCAATGCCCGCGTCTCTGCGGCCCCCCCCCCGGTCTTTCTTGGGGTTGCCCCCCCCTCCCCCCCTCTCTTCCCCTCTCTCTCTCTCTCTCTCTCTCCCTCTCTCTCTCTCTGTTTCTTGTTAGTTTTCTTTTTGTTTGTGTTTTTCTTTTCTTTTCCTCTCTCTCCATCTCTCTCTCTCTCTTTCTCTCTCTCTGTCTTTTTTTGTTCCTCTCTCTCTCTCTCTTTCTGTTGTTCCTCTCTCTCTCTCTGTCTTTTTTTTTGCTTTCTCTCTCTCTCTCTCTCTCTCTAAATATCCCCTCTCTCCATCTTTCTCTCTCTCTCTCTCTTTTCCTCTCTCTCTCTCTCTTCTTGTCCCTCTCTCTCTCTCTCTCAGCGAGGGCTCCCCGCAGGCGCTGCTCTGGCCCGACACGGCCCGCCCTGGCGTCAGCAGTTCCTTCCACGAGCTCGCGCCTGGCAGCGTGGGCTTCCTGACCTTCTCGGGCATATCCGGGAGGAGGGCGGGCGCAGAGGTCTCCCCTTCCTCCTCCCGGCTGCTCGTGAGAGTGACCCTTCGCTGCAGTGACCTTTGGTGCGGGCCCACAGTGGTCCCCAGAGCACTGGCTTGCACGCTTGGAATTGGGCCCTAAGCGGCCCGCTAAAGCCGCGCACCAAGCGTCACTCTTGCCTACATACGGTCGCTCTTGCGCGTCACCGATCCTCCATCCCCGCGCTCCCTCCCTCTCCGCCTTCCCCCTTCCTCCTTTCAGAGGTGGAGCAGATACCGATACCGCTACCCTTGCTTCGTCACCGCTGCCAGATTCGTTTGGAAATTGTGTCCTCAAATTCTTGCAGTGCCCAAGAGGAATGTGAACATCAGCAGAGCAACAGGAGCAAGAGTAGATGTTGCACACACGTTCAAAATTAGGTCAAAACGCGAATGGGAGGTAAAGTTGTTCAGAGACGAATGTTGCCATCCTTTTCAGAACGCGCCCCTGGAGAGGTCCGTGAAGTAGCGGTATGGATATCGGTTTGTTCCCCCATCCTCATTCCCCGCCCTCCTCCACCGCTTCCCGTCCTCCTCCTCCTCCTCCTCACAGGTTTCTCCCTCATTGTTCTCCTTCCATTTGCCATGAAGCATGTGATGTGGTATTGCTCTCCTCGCTCTCCCGACTACGTTCTGAAAGTATCCCGCCCTCTCCGCGTATCTTTTATGTGAAACAAAAATTCCAAAAATCGTGACGCTTCCACTTCCCCTATCCCACGTGGGTGGGGGCCTGACCGAGGTGAGAGGCGGCTTTCCCCCCGCCTCCCACCGCGGGAGCCAGGCGGGTGTCCCCCGCTCTTGGCCACGGGGACCACCGACGTTCCGTCGGCTGTTGGTGGCGCCTCCCTTCCCAGGGCCGCACTCGCCCATCGCTGCTTGGGGCTGGTTTCCCCCCCCCTGCGGCGGTCCGGTGCGGCCCCGGTGGGCTCGTTGCGTTCGTTGGCAGGTCCGTGGCCAGGGTGGGATGTTCCTGCGGCGGGCGTGGCTGGACCTGCGTCTGACGGCCCTCCTGTCCGCACTGTGCAGCCCCCCCCCAGCACACCGCTCTGAGACAACATCACATCGCCCGTACCAACGCCACGTGCCCCGCGAGGCACAACTCAACTTGTGCTCTTGGAGACCCCCTGATCGGGCCCGGTTCGCCCTGCGACACCACCACTCCAGTGCACTCCATCTCTCCCTCTTCGCTGGCGATGCTCACCACGCCAGCGGGCTCCCCCACATCCCGTGGCCTCGCCGTGCCGGCTCGCGCTGGAGGGCTCTCAGTCGCACGGTTTCCCCCCGACATTGTGATGTGGTCTGACTGGGGCTGCCTAGTGTGTGCTGAGTGGTTCAGCTTTCCGCAACAGGTACAGTCCTACAGGCCCACCTTCAGTCCCCCCTGTGCGTTGCACCACGGCTCACGACTGCTCAGCCAGCTTGGCTTACGCAGGTCGTCCGCTTGGAGCCTGGCGCCGCAGTGGCGACTCACTCCAATGGCCCTCTCGTCTTCACCTTGCACAATGACTCGCCCGCGGGCTTAGTGCGGGGTTTTCCCCGGCCGCCTGATTTCTGGTCATTTTGTCCAGTGCGCGTGCCGGCGCTTGCAGTGCGCCAGTCAGTTCAGCCCACCCAGCTTGCAGCTGCCGTCTGAGTGGGCCGGCCGGCGCTGTTCTAGCCAATTAGCCCCGTTCGTGGCCCGGACGTCGCCTTTGCCGCCTGACCATTGCCTGGTGGCCGCTGACCAAAAAAGTATTCCCACCAGCCCGCGCCCCAACCTTGGTTGGCCAATTTGCGCGTTGCCCTGGCTCAGCCCCCGGCAGCCGCAGCCTGCACCCCCACCCGCCGGCCCTGCCCGCCGTGGTGATGCCTGAGGCCCCGCCGCGTTAGGTAATTCGTCTTTGCGCGGCCCGCTCTGACTCGACTCGCCGTTTGCGCTTTCGCTTGCGGCTGCTGACTAAAAAAGTACTCCCGCCAGCCTACGACATTGTCTACGACATTGCCATCAGCAGCGCCGGCGGCTTCACCTACGCCGTCACCGACGACCTCACCGCAACCTACTTTCACTGCTTCACCGCTGCACCAACGGCTGCTTCGGCAGCACCCACAGCAGCACCCACGGCAGACCCACCGGCTGCGCCTACTGCGTTCTCGACGGCCGAGCCAACCACTGCTCTTACAGCAGCGCCCACTGCAGCCCCCACTGCCGCACCGGCAGCTGCCCCTAGTGCTACGCCTCAGGCCTCTCCCACAGCTTCATCGACAGCGTCACCAACGGTTGCTCCGACGGCAGCGCCCACAGCCTCGCCGGCGGCACCGCCGACGGCTTCGCCTACGGCGTCACCGACGGCCGCATCTATTTGCCCTGCCCCAGCGTGCGAGGCCGCAGGGAAACCCCCTCGGTCCGTCGCGCTGGGCTCTGGGCTTTCCCTCGGGGGGTACTCCTCCCGGTGGATCTCCGCCTGTTCCCGCCACTCGCCTGCAGCGGTTGGCCTTCGCTCCTCGTCGCAACCGGTACTTCGCATCGCGCGCTCTCCTACCAGATCTGCGACCGTTAGTCGCCTTCGCGCTTTCTCCGCTCCCCCAGGCCCCGCGCACGAGGCCGCAGGGACCCCCCCCGGGCCCAGGGCGCTGGTCTGCGGGCCTCCCCCTCCGTCACCCGCCCTAGGCGGTCGCGCTGGGGTCAGGCCCTCTCCCGCCGCCCCCCGCCGCGTGACCGCCGGGGCGCCCGTGAAGTGTCATCGCTGGGTATGTCTTCACAGCGCCGGTCCAGCCGCCTTGCTCCGCGTTGGGCGCTGCTTGGTCCTCTTCGTGCCCTGCCCCAGCGTGCGAGGCCGCAGGGAAACCCCCTCGGCCCGTCGCGCTGGGCTACGGGCCTCCCCCCGGAGGGCACTCTTCGCGGTGGACCTCCATCTGTTCCGGCCGCTCGCCCCGGCCGGCCTTCGCGCCACTCCAGACTCGCGCGAGAGGTCGTTGGGCCCCAGCCCCCCCCCGGCCCATCGCGTTGGTCTTCGGGCATCCCCCATGGGGGCTCTCATGGCTGTCCTGGCAGTCTGCCAATTGGCCTTTCCCTCCTTGGGGGCCGCTCTATGGCTGCCTGGTGGTCTGCGCCTCGCACTCCGTCTGCCGCCTGCCCACCGCGCCGCTTGGGGTCGACGGACACCTGGTCCTCCCCCTCGCCCCCCTCTTCGGCCGTGCCTCTCGCTTCCTGGGCGTCCGCTGGTCGTACCTGCTCCTCAGGCTCCGTGCCGTTCCCGTCCTCCGGCCCTCTGGCCGTTCCCCCCGCCTTGCAACCTGTGCGGATTTCGCGCCCCCCGCTGCCCCTCGACACCACTCGGTGTCCGGCGATCCGGCTCATTCCGTTGAGCGCCTGCATGTCCAGCCTTCCTCCGTATCGTGGGCCACCGTCTTACGTCCTCTCCCTGGCATCGTCCTCGGTTTGCTGTTCGTCTTGACGGCGTTCTTCCTCGTCTGGGACGAGGCTGACTTCGTGAATTACTACCTGGTGTTGCACGCCGCCCGGATGTTCTTCGTTGCGCTCGCGTTCTCCTGAGCGGCAGTGAGGCGGGCCTCCTGTTCCTCTTGCGCTAATTTAGGCCGTCGCTAACCTGCTCCGCCCTTGACACCGCCCGACCTTTCTTCGCCGCGGTCGCGATCAAAAAGGACCCCCACCAGCCCGTCCAGACTCGATGCCTAGCAGAGTTGCCCTGAACTCTTTGGCGTATCGCGGGGCGTCTTGGGTCTTCTTGCTGGCTCTTGGGAGGTCTCTTGGAGCGGCTTGAGTGCCTCCGAAGGTGCCTCTTGGAGCCTCTTGGGGGCCGCTTGGGGCCCCTTGGGGCCTGTCGGGCGCCTCTTGGGGGCCCTCTTGGGGCGCTCTTGTTTTTTGCTTGTTTTTAGCAGCTAAGACTCAGGCTTCTTGATGCTGCGCATGTTGTGCGTGGGGATCGCCGGGCCGTCTTGGGGCCATCTTGGAGGCGATCGATCCAAAAACGGGGGGCCCTGACCGCTCGCGCCGCCCCCCCCGTCCAGGCCTGGGGTGGGCAGGGCAGGGGGAGTGGGCAACCCTTCTCCGAAGGGGAAGACAGGGGGAAGATGGAGGAGGAAACACTTTACACCACTTTCTCCAAGAGGACTAGTAGGATTTCTCCGCGGGATTACCTCCAGCACTCTCTCCTTCCTTTTCCGCTAGCTGCTTATTCCTCTTTTCTTTCGCCCGCCATGAAGGGAAGGGGTCCTGCGGGAGATGGGTCTTCAGGTTGTTCTACGTTTTCGAGCTCCCGGGGCTTGTCCATAGCCCTGAGCCAGTCAAACAACAACTCGGGACGGAGAGCTCGTCCAGGGGGAAAGGCCAAGTGTCCAAGATCTTTTTCATTTACGACTCGCTTTAATCATGTCCGTTCACCCTCCTCGCCATCGTCGTCGTCGTCGGCACAACCGCGGCTGGGAAGTGTTCGGCGCTGAGCGCAACCGCGGCTGCGTCGGTCGCGCCAGGCTAGCTGGTCGCTCTACGCGCGAGCCTGTGCGCTAGCGCGGTCGCAGCGAGGCGCCAGCCAGCGCCGAGCAGTCGTCACCATCCCGGCCGCATGGTTTCTGCAATACAGGTTGCAGGCGGGTGGGGTGGATGTCTGCGCGGACAGTGGAGTCGACAGTTCTTTGCGAACAAAACCATGCGCACCACACCACATATATTATATCTTCTCTTCTGAAGAAGAAATAAGATATACCACCACCGCAAGGATGACCAGCTTGCTTTGTTCTAGTGCAAGTTACACATGATGCAGCCCCCTTGCCCGTCCGAAATATGAACTCGCATCATCCCAGCCCAGCCGGTTTTTGAGAGGGCGCCGCTGGGTGTCCCCAGGGGGGGGGGGGGGGGTCCCCTCCCCCCCCCCCCTTTCCCCGATCCGTCGTCGGGTAACCCCACCCAGCCCTTCCCCACCCGATCCGTCGTCGGGGAATCCCCCCCCCCCCCCCCCTTCCTTTCCTGGTCCGTCGTCGGGGACCCCC